CGATTCCACACTGCATCTTTCGAAGTGCATTCACGTGTTGGTAAATAAGGCTGTGGTTCGAACGGAATTGTTTTGCTACCTCCAGTCGGTGTGCTAACTTGTTTTCTCGAACCAACTGTACATATTAATTGATCAGAGATACGTATGCTGTTTCATCCTCCGGGTCAGGATTGTTTATGTGAAGGCGGTATGTGTTCCTCCAACGCCATAACTCTTCATATTTGGCTTCTAATGAATAATGTTTGTTGCATGTGATGGTGGAAGATTTTTGCTTCGAATGCGGACAGAACCAGATAATGAGAAATGCATTGCATTTTTCCGGGCTCTGCATCGGTGTATTCGTCGTAGCGAAGGAAACCATACCATACAATTCTGTGATCTTAGTCATTCATTGTGTGTTTTTAGCTTGACAGTTGGACATTCATGACTGAGAGCAATCTAGAGGTAGTCTAGGAGAAATGATTGAAAACCCCATCACTAGTCACCAAAGCATCAGAGAAAAATTTTCCACCATCACATGCAACAAACATTATTCATTAGAAGCCAAATATGAAGAGTTATGGCGTTGGAGGAACACATACCGCCTTCACATAAACAATCCTGACCCGGAGGATGAAACAGCATACGTATCTCTGATCAATTAATATGTACAGTTGGTTCGAGAAAACAAGTTAGCACACCGACTGGAGGTAGCAAAACAATTCCGTTCGAACCACAGCCTTATTTACCAACACGTGAATGCACTTCGAAAGATGCAGTGTGGAATCGTACCACTAAGTATGCTTGGGGGGTATACCCACACAACAAAAAAGGCGGACAACGCCTCATTGCCCAGTACTGGCCTACTTTCCAAGCCGTACTAGCCTCAAACCTCTTATACTTGTTTCTGTCCCAACACCATCAGTGTTTTCCAGCATCAAATTCATAGCAAATGTGGTTCTGAAAAAGCTACCATCCTTGGATAATCTGCGCCATAAAGCACTGCAGGCAGCAGCCATTCACCTAGTCCGGACACTTGCCGGATTCTTTCAGAGAAGTCCGTCTGATCCTACCAATTACCGTCCAGTAACACTTATCTCTGCGCTTTTCGAAGTCATGGAAGCAATCATCGCTGACGTAATGATGGGCTACATGGAAAACCTAGGCAATGCATTATTAGGATGGGTTGGTAATTTTCTCTGTGAACAGCAGTTCTATGTTAGAGACCGAACATCTCTGCCCGACTCTAATCGAGTGGAGTGCGACGATCTTGCGAGAGCCATCAGCTCAAAAATTTTACTTCTTCGGATAAGGTTAGAAGTTGACCGGGAATCAAGAGAATGGACGACCACAAGGTCCTCCATGTGCGACCTAGATGGGACCTGGCATTGAACGGTGAGGAAATCACTGCCATTAAATGTGGTCAGGTGACACATCATCCACCTCCGCCATAGACACGCCTATCTAGAATATTGGGGCATATGACCTACAGACAAGCCCTCAGGAACTTGACCTCGGTGTGCTGGTGCAGGGCGACTTCGGTTATTCCAGAGAGTCGGAATCCAACATGTTGTTAGCTTGCGGATGGCATTCGAAAGTTTGGATTCATTCATCTTCTCTATGATGCTCCATGCCTATGTGCGTTAACACGTCGAATACGTTATCCAGACTTGGCACGCTTGGCTAAACCGTGACCTTGCAGCGCTTGAAACTCACCATGGTCGAGCAGCGACTAAATACACTCGGAGCGTTCAGTAGACACTACAGGCGGCTACGTGGAGACCATATATTAGTCTACCAGATACGGAACGACCCCATGTACACATGTTGCCCTCTACTGCAACTCATGCCGAACTCCAACTTTACAGGCAATAGCTTGAAACTGAGTCAACAACACAGTCGGCATTTCATTAAGGCTGGACGAACCTCAGTACATAACGACTCAGTGATTTCGCCATAAGTAGCCATTGAACGTTTCGGTGCTTACGCTGTTTATGTGCTCAACGACAGCCTGGACGTTAATAATTCTATCCGACAGGACGCATCATTAGCACCATTTGCCAGCGGACCAGTTTAGTCGTTAACACATTTGTGAAAGAGGATAAGTATATTAACAGAAATGTATTGGAATGATCATCTATGCTAGTGAAGAATATGTTCAAAATGTCCGCCGGCATGCTGCTTACAGTGCAGAAACCGCTTGATGCAATTGGCGAGCACTTTCTCCAATGTATCTCTCGTGATCGTGCGACATTCGTTCACAATAGTTTCTCTCAATTGATCCAATGAACGCGGTCTTGTTTTGTACACTCGCCGCTTCAGATAGCCCCAGAGAAAAAAGGCCATGGGGTTCAAATCTGGTGAGCGAGCAGGCCACTCCATTGGTCCACCGCGTCCGATTCGATGGTGGCTAAATTTGTCGGTGAGGTAAGTACGCACCGATTTAGCAGAATGTGCAAGTGCACCATCCTGCTGCCACCACTGCATGTCCCTTCAGCCTCCAACTGGGGAAGCACAAATGTTTGCAGCATTTCCAAATACGACGATGCTGGGAAAAGATAAGGCTTTAGTACTTCAAAACAACAACCTACCGGTCACATTCCCGGAAAAGAAATATGGGCCCAAGATTTTCTGGCTTGTTAATCCGACCTAAACCATCAGTATCACACTGTGGTTTATACGTAATGCGGTAGCCCAACAGTAATGTTTCATTGTTCCATGCAGATGAAACAATGCCTCATCTGTAAAGATAACCGAACGAATATCCCTGTGATCCATAAACCAGCGGCAAAATTCATGCCGCTTCTCCGGATCGCATGGGTTCAAAACCTCCACTTGAAGTGCCCGGAACCTCCGAAATTTTCGTTCCAGTCATATCCGGTGTACCGCATATCGGGTCGTGTCACAGTGCTGTGCGATCCAACGAATGCTGAGATCGGGACTTTTTGACACTTCACTGACTACAGCGCAAGCTGAACAATCGTCCGTGATGATGCGAGGCGGTCCGGTTCTCTTCATGTCACACACACTCCCAGTTTGCTCGAACTTCTTCACCAGTTTAAGCACGTACCGGGCGGTGATGGGACGCATTCCTGCGTTCATTGCATTGTATTTTCTTGAAGCTGATGCGGAGTTTAAACCGCATTCACCGTACAGTCGAATAATCGGCGCGCGCTAACTGGAACTTTACGTGATCCCGACTGTGTTGTCTGCTCGCGCTCCATTACCTATGATTCAATAACCTTGACAACAGTTGCAATGTCTAACCTCGTCCTCAACTGAGCTGCCATCACATGCGCACATGCACGTTGCAGTTTCGATCGCCTAAGCCGGCTTTGCCGCGTAGCCGGCGAGACACACAGAGACAACCATCGATCGCTCCAACGCCTACGGTTGGCCATGACCTTCCCTCACTGCGAAGTTAGCTGACAGCCGGAAACACGTTGTGACTCGCCCGCTGATCAACAGCCTCGTGTCGGTGCGTCATTAGAGATTAGACTTTTCCTCAGCTGAGCCCTGCACTAAATCACTCGTCTGCCGAGAATTCCATACGTCCGCACCACTGAGGTGAGAGAGAAATTCATGTCTCTCTACGCGCAGTAGCATGCTGCGAATTTCGCTAAACATTGGATGGCTATTGGATGTTGGGGACAACAACCGTAAATGACCTGCGTTCACCATAAGGGAACCACGGTAGGTAAATTAACGCAAATCGGCCTTCTTTCATCAGACTAACCTATACCTAACGGTTGGCAACTACAGGCAGACGTGTCAAAAGAAGAGGGAGGTGTCGTATTCTGGACCAACCCAACATTGTATGCTGTCATCCAATCAGTCCATACATCTGTCCAGCCAATGACCACAATGTTGAAACCAACGAAACCGATATACCCTAGGGAGTCTGGTAAACACGTGAACTTCCTTTTGACACTTTGTTGACTCTGCTTGTCAGTATCCTTTGATCCGCTGTATCAATACTACCGTTCATTTCCACGATCTAGTATTCTATCCACCTATTGAACAGTTTGAGTTATATCAATATGTGACGTCAGTTCATCTATTTCCTGAAAAGAGGTAGTTTAATTTGGACCATCGTAACAGAGTTAAGAGACACAACTATGATAGTCGTTTCTCAGACACCGGCCGACGCTGAGTCACTGTTACGTACAAACAATTGTCCCTTACGTCATTCCCAGTTCCGTGGCATAGGTTGATGACATAACATTTGCGTTATCAAAGCGTTGCTTGTTATAAGGTTGAGGTGATCTCCCACTGTTGCCGAATCTCCATGGCGCGAAACTTCCATGCAGTGCTTTCCAAAATATGGCGGCAGTTGCATAGGTAAATTTGATTGTGAGGAACGCGTGTATTGAGCCACCATAATGGTGAAGCATGAAAACATTGCCTCCCCGTCGAACTAACATTCGCCACGCATTTGTGATCGCGCTGAAACCAACTCGTCCATAGGACGGATAATTAACTGGAACGATTAACCCCCGTCTAAATTGTAAAGCAACAAACATCACACTAGACTACCCGAGGGCAGGTGCACGGTTGTTCGGATTGCTCAGGGATGAGGAAGATTGTGAAAGGTTGGCGAACGTCAATGACGGGGAGAGAAAATGTGCTCCGTCATTCATTATTACATGCGCTTACATGAGGAACCCGCAGTTTCTGAATGCTCGTGCGTGGTTGGTCCTGTGATCATGTTATGCATATTTATGAGGTGATCAGAGGTAGTTGAGGACAAGTTGGAGAGGCGAAATACATGGATGGCTTTTTCGATATTTTTAATGAACCTTTCTTCGCCTACAAATCTGTTTAGGCTATATCGCCTCTTCCTTTTCTCATGTATTTTATAGATCGATGTAATTAGCATGCTTATAACTTTATCAAATTCAACATAATCTTACACGCTTTTATATAGTTAGCTATCAGTTAGCTAACTATATAGATAGTTAGCTATCACTGACGACAGTCTACAGCATTATTCATAACTTGGTAGCATAAGTTTCACTCACTTGAATTGCTCGCAATTTGCGTAGTCCCCATTGTGGTTGGCATTACGCTTGCGCTTTTGCCTTCCGTGAACTCATCCGTGAGGACTGCATGTAAAAAAGATGAGTAAAAAAACATAACGGCATTCTACCACTCGTATTCACTAATAACAAACATAATCTGTGACACGCATTTCGAAACAAATGCAAGATGCTTGATGAACGTTCTGTTCAACGGCACTGATGTGGTTCTTCTTTCATTTTGCTTGAATTCATGTCAGTTGTATCATTGCATGCCTTCCGTAATTATAAGCAACTGTTACCTCGGTGCCGCAATCACTTTAAACAGTGTGGGAAGTAGACACTAGTGTTGAATATATATATATATATATCTATATACATATATATATATATTCTTCATAAGCACACATCTTCTCAGATCTTAAATGCCAAGTTGTAGAACATCGGGAAATGTCCTACCAGGTTAGCAGCAACCCTGAACTTAGTGCGTGTTAACAAACTGAAACTCTTTTAATTCGATAGTCAAGGTATCTTCTGTCACCTACAGTCAGACCAACCACAGGGAAGTCCCTCGCTGCAAGGAACGTGATTCTATACGGAAGCAAACCAATCCCCCCAATATAGCAAAGTAACAGAAATGATTGCCTCTACAAATTTAACTTCGTTTTTCGATGCAGATGTCTCAATGTATTGTGACCGGATGACAAGTTATGCGAACCTTTGTTTTGATCTCTGCTGTCCCATGGAAAACATTCTCATTCGCCCTGATCGGTTCTCATCATCACTCCTCAAGCAGCTACGTCGACTTAAGGAGAGAACCTCCAAAGATAAAAATCGTGCCTCAGTAAAGTTTCCTTCTCTACGCATCCCGGAAAATTTATTTACTTCAAGCATACCTACGTTCAAACAATTCTGGGGAACGATAATTGCCGTGAAATTTGGCAGATGAGGAAATAATTTAGCGGAGTCGTTCGTCATAGAGGTATAAGAATCATATCGCAGCATGTGCTGCCGTAGTAGTGACTCAGTCCCCAGCTCATCATAGACACAGATTCAGTGGTCTACAGACTCATCGCCATTTGCTGATGTTGCAGCCCTTAACAGGAAGTTTACCCAACTAACCTCAAGCAAATCAAGTGGACTTGACCGGTTGTGTCCATTCGTTCTTAAGGATTGTGCAGGTTCACTAGCCCAACCGCTAGCTAAGTTGTCCCCCATGTGCCTAAACCAAGGCAACATCACAGACTGTTGACGAGCTGCTACCGTAACCCCAATATCTAAGAAAGCGACCGGTAAATATTGACCAATTGCGTGCTATTCGGTGAGTTCCAAAATCCTCGAGAAATTCAATTTTGAACAATAGCTACTCAAATCCTCTCTGAATGATGCTCATGAATTTGCATACCAAAGATCCAGGATAATACAAGGCGCAGTGGCTTGTCTAGTGCAATCAGTGCTACCGTCACTAGACAGCAAGAAAAAAGCCACACACGTATGCTTCCGTGAATCCACCAAAGCATTCAGTTGTGTTAACCGTGAAAGCTCGTTGCGGGATCTGACTTATGTATCCAACCATCAATAGCCTTCTTTCTACAGTATTATTTGTCAAATGAACTCAGGTAACCAGATTCAAGGGTAAGAGCTCCTTACCTATTACCATTATTTCCGGTGTACTTCAAGAAGCCTTTTTGCCATTCTTATTCTCTACTTGTTTTGGCTCCATCCTTGTCCCTGAAAAAGCCATAATGCTAAAATACACCGACGACGTGATAATCGGCGCGAATCATCTAACTTCAGCCTCGTCGACAATGCTACAAACTTGTTTGCATAAAATTGTGCATTGCTCAAATGACCGCGGCTCAAATCTGAAAGCTTCCAGGTGCAGTGATGTACTGTTTTCGCTGCATAAGGCAGATCCTTACCTGAAGCTCGTTACTGACTGTCCCCAACTTCACATCAGTGGCTAAAGCCTGAGCTTCTTGACGTTGTTGAAGTATCTGGGAATCACACTGTGCCATGACTTATCGTGGTCACATTACATGAATGAAGTATTCGCCAAAATCAGATGACTTATATTTTATGACGCACCACTTCGTTCGTCCTCAGTCTCCCACCAGTTGAGCCTGAGGTTTGTCATTGCACGTGTTATACCCCACACTGGGCCTACTGTTCTCCTTGGATCTTTCCGAGGCTATTGGTTTAGCATTTCAATCTACTTCATAGGTCGCTGAAAATCATATCTCGATGCAGTGGTATTGCTAACCCAACCTTAGTTAAACACAATGCATATGTTCATGTTAATTCATGCGCAAAACGTGCTTCGAAAGTACTCACTAATAACAGCCATCCTTGACATAGCGTCACATCAAATTGCAAATCTACTTCCTCAACACGACGAAATTACAGAGCCATATATGCCCGCACGCGGGTCTACAGCGCATCTGTCATGTTTTAAATAGCTAGTTTTCTGGTTGCTCGGAATATTATTATTCAAGAACTGAGAAGCAAATTATGTCAGTGATACTGTGCCACGCATGAAACATTGTCTTTGCTGCCGTTTTTTCTGATTTGCATGTGTTCTATTGTTTTTGTCTTTACCACTTCGATCGCGCGTGTGTTACAGTTGAAAATGCACCCTTCTTGGGTGCATAAAAGCAAATGCTCGAGTTAACTGAATTGATTTGTCTTGCATCCAAAACTACCACAATGGATTCCAAAGTCAAGTTAATTTCGCATCTTAGAACTACTTGATTGGCGTAATTACATGATCCCCTCTCACAGTTCGGGGTCCAGTTACCAAGTGTTTTATCGCTCATCAAGATATGCTAGCCACTCTTAATGTTCTCTATTAATCTCACTATACAATCACAGCTGCCTATGGCAATCACTCAAACGAGCGACAAAAGTGATCCTCTTGGACAGATGGTCCCCATGGCCATGTTAATGTATAGGGACAGTACTCACGAGAGAAAATGTTGGGGACTGTTAAAGTGCTCCAGCTAGACAGGTGGTTCCCATAGCAGGTTGGACTGTACTATCAATTTCTTCGAGGCCTTGATGTGATCCGACTACCAGACACCAGTATTGTCGCTTGGCTACCTATCGTGTCAAGTACATGGAACCAGTACCGCAGCTGCTGTCACCAAAATTCGTGCAACCTCTTTGCTTTAGCAGGCACATTCGGTTGATACAAGCGTTATATATTCATTCACCGACTGACTGTAAATACCTATGCATCGAAGGAGGCTAAGTATTGTCAGTATTGTAAATTTTCGTGTAGTTGCCCGGATTCCTCCACGAATCCGGATCCACAGGTTTCTAATTCTTCAGGCGCGCCCAGCGGTTCCTACCGCGGTCTGCGCCTAGCTTTTACTAAACTGTGTAGTCTGATGAACTAGCGCGACGTGTTGTACGACTTTGTCAGCTCGCATGGACTAGACGTATTAGGCCTTGCAGTGGCATGGTTAAACTCCGAGGTAACCGCCCAAGAAGTGGAACCCACCGGGTACTCATGCTTCCGCTGTGATAGACCATCTAATGATCGCGGTGGCGTTCTACTTTACATTTAGTCTTCCTTGTGTGGGAGACTAGTGAGCGCCTACCAAAGCGCTAATGGTCTATGTGAGCAGTTATTGTGCTCGATTCACCTCAGACGCTGCGAGTTGCTCGTGGGCGTGGTATATCGCAGTCCACTGAGCTGCTGTTTGGACTGGTTGCCGCATGTCCGCAACCACATGATTCGTCAGATGTTCCTACTCATGGGCGATTTTAACTTGCCCCGAATACAGTGGCCTGAAGCTGAACTTCTCCCCGGCCACTGTGAAGTCGAGAGGAAGTTTACGGAGTTGCTATTTGAAACTGGGGCCACACAGCACATCAAGCAACCGACACGCATTACTGCGCGCCCGACTCCATCGTGCTTAGACCTGCTTTTGACTATCTGTGAGCAGCGTGTGCACAATATTAAAGTTTTAGGGCCTCTGGGAACAAGCGACCACTCTTTGATCATAGGCAGCTTGGAACTACCGCTGCCGTATTCTCCCCCACTAGAGACAGCCTTCAACTATTGGAAGACGGACTTTAATGGCCTCATTCGACCAGATAGACTGGTCTTTACCACAGGATTCATCTATTGAAACCTGTTCGACTATCATTAAAGAGGGAGTGAACTCGTTGTGCGCCCGATTTGTACCCCTCAAATTTCGGAAAGTTGGGCCAGTCAAACTACATTGGTTTGACAAAGAGTACAACAAATTGGCCCGACGGCGACGTAGACTATGGAACAAATTCGTGTTATCTGGCTCTGTTGAGGACTACAAGGCGTACAAGGTACAGCAAAATCGCTGCAACAACGCGAAAACAAGAAAAAGCTTCGAAGAGGAGCTTGCAACCGCTGCAAAAACTGCTCCCAAGGGGATCTTCGCATACGTGAAGCGCCTGATGCCAGTAGCCAATGTCTCAGTGTTAGAAGGCTCAGAAGGGCAGCCCCCAACCTCGAGTACATTTCGTGCGTCAGCATTAGCGGTGCACTTCACCTCCGTATTTGCAAGTGACCAGGTGTCTGTAACGAGTTCGACGAGCACCGCTCCAGCCGAACTTAACAGCCTGGACTGCAATATTGAGGATGTACGCAAGATTCTAGCAAATCTTGACGGGACGTAACCTGCTGGGCCAGATGGTATACACCCACTAATCCTCAAGTCATTCGACCACAATTGCCCCCTCTGTAACTGAATTGTTTAACAGGTCATTATCCACTGTACTGTTAGCAGACGACTGGAAATACTCAGTCGTAAAGCCTATCCCGAAAGGTGGTAACCCAAGCAAAGTGGATAACTACCGGCCGATCTGCCTGACGGCAGTTTTGGCAAAGACGCTCCAGAAGATCGTGAAGAAGAGCCTTCTGCAACTTCTCGAGTCGAAAAACCTGTTAACCTCCGCACAGCATGGTTTCCTGACAGGTCGTTCATGCATCACCAACTTACTGTTGACGAGGCACGAATGGTTACAAGCGCTGAATAAAGGCCAATCGGTTGACGTCATTTACATTGACTTCAGTAAGGCTTTTGACAAGGTTAACCATGCAGTGCTCCTAGGCAGGATGAGGATGTGCGGTGTTGGTGGTTCGCTGCACAAATGGATCAGCAATTTCCTTGTGGATCGAAAGTGGAGAGTCCAGGTGGACAACCATCTAACTGACTGGTATCCATCGAGCAGCGGTGTGCCCCAAGGCAATGTACCGGGGCCGATATTGTTTCTGATCCATGTAAACGATGTGCCTCAGCTACTCCAATCACCTTTTGCGTTGTTCGCAGATGACTTAAAGGTGTGGGGATTAATCCGCACACTCAATCATTGTGATTTACTTCAGCTGGACCTCGACCGCCTCTCGACATGGTCTGCAGAGGTTAACCTTCCGATCAACCCTGCCACGTCGCAATTCATGAGGTTGGGCAAGTGTGAACACAGCCGAACGTACACAGTGGCTGGTCAACCGTTGCATCCCGCGCCCTTCGTGCGCGATCTCGGTGTACTCTCACGCTGCGACCTAAAGTCCATTGACAACACGAATGGGCTGTACCAAAACAGCCTTCGGATGCTTTGGGCCCTCAGGCGCCGCTTCAGCACTTGGTCCGAAGAGATGGCCACTCTCCTCTTCGTCTCGATAATACGATCAATGCTAGAGTACGGCTCTCCCTCGTATTGTCCCATCACCCAGGGCAAGGTAGAAAAGCTTGAACGGGTGCAGCATGTAGCCACCAGGCTGATTCCCAACTTACGAGGTATGCCATACGAAGACCGATGTAAGAAACTAGGTCTGTATACCCTAGCTTATCGTCGGCTGAGAGTTGACTTCATCATGACGCACCCGGATATTACATCTGAGTGACTACCCCATGTTGAGACAACTGCTTCATCTGCGCACACCAAGCTGCACGCGAGGACACCGGTATAAACTTATCGTACCGAAGTTGAAGCGCGTCGCTCACCAACTATGTTTCGAACGCAGAGTGGTGAATATCTGGAACGACCTACCGCAGCACATAATAGAGGCGAACTCAGTGTCGGAATTTAAGAAGCTCCTAAACAAACACTGCAGAGGCAATATATAGAGAGCGGAACGATAAATAAGGAACATATGTCCAAGAGCGACGAATGGTGCATCTACACAGAGAAACCTCTACTCGCTGCTACGAACCAGTATTCAATATTCAGTATTCAGTACGCTATAGTACTAAGTTGTTAAATTACATACCAACAGAATATTGATTATGCCGATGTAGCCACTGTGATCCATGGCTTCGCTCACTCCAGTGACTCTTTTGTCCATCCTCAGTAATGCTGAATCTGTCGGCAGTGGAGCTTTGTATGAATGGTGTAACTAGATATGAATCAACTATTTAAAAGATTGGTTCGTGAATTTACAATCTTTGGTAAATAATTGACAGTTTTGAAATTCTGTTAAGAGGACCATTACCTGAGTGTTCTGCTAGAGAATTGCGCAAATGGGTTCTCTTGTCCGTAGTTATATGTCATGCAGCATATATTCGCTCGCATCGAAATGCCCGATAGGTTGTGGTAGACACGCTTCTAATTAGGTGCCTACATCTTCGCTAAATCGGCAATATGGGAACGTTTGATTTTGTGCCGACCGATTCACAATAAGAAATCTGGGAACTTTCTGCAAATAGACAGAGCATCCGCGCCTGTTGTTTGAAAAATGCAGCCGTGGTGTAGATACTTATTCCAATCTTCTCAAATCAAGGACGTCGTAGTTTGACACTTTCATGTACAGTGTATCTCAAGGGGTTGGATGTGTGTGTACGCAAGCAAAGCAAATATCTATTCCACTACGACTATCGACCACTCTGTGTAAACATGGTTAATTTTAAGTACAGTTCGTTTCATTCCTATATCTCTACAATATTTTTACATTCGAAATGGCTTTATAGTGGAATGAGACACCACTTGGTAACTATTTGATTGCCTACCTTACAAACAACATCTATTTCTATGTGGAAATGTTCAATAGATAACGTGATTAATAAATCGAAGCCAAATTCTTTGTGTATCTTTATCATTTCGGACGGCATAGTATTGGAACATTCCTCTAAAATAGCTTACACAACTGTTCACCCTATGACCAAATAGAGTGAATTGTAAGGATTCCTACATTATAGGAGGTTTTCGCGTGATGTTGAGTACATATTTTCTCATTAGGGCTCCACTGTATTATTTTTTGTTTTCTTCCAACATTGCTAGATGGGAGTTAACAGATAAAAATATTTATGAAGCAATATATCATACGATTTTATTTCCGGCGTTTGACTATGGATGAGTTGCTGTAATGTTTAGATGACTCTGAGTTGGAGCTATCTAGTTCCGCTGACTCTCCAGTGAATAGTTTCTATCCTGCCGAATCTGATTCGATTATGGCGATCGTGATACTAGTGGTATGACCGAAGAAGTTGTAAAAGTAATTCTTGCACAATCCTGCATTGATGCTAGCCAAAATGTAAGCAAATTTTGCAAAAAAATAGCTTAAAATAACGGTGTCGCAATGATGGATTTCATTCAGGTAACGTAAATTTGCTAGAGGTTTCCCGTTAAGGTGATGGCTTCACTTCGTCATCGAAATATTTTCGACAATTATTCAGACCGGAAACGTTGACAAATTTGAAGAACAGAAAAATATTTTGCACATGATTAAAATTGGGATAAGTTTTTGTACAACAGTTAGAGAAATGCAAATTTGTCGGCATCCGAATTTTGATAGCAATTGTTGGTGTTCCAAGGATCCGTATGTATTCGAGAAAGGTCACAAGAGGCAACACAGTTTTAGATATTAAACCAGTGAAACGATACTTGCACTTTTGCAATACCATTCTAATCCATGCCTAACAAGGTACAACGCAAGGAACAAATAAATTGGAAAGTGCAGTGTCCCATGCGTGGTCGTTGCTCTGAGACGGGTTCCATCTAGTGCACGAACAAATTTTGTTCAATGAATTCCAGCGAAACAATTCATTTAAAGGAACTCAGATACATTGGTAGTGTAGTACGTTATCATCTGGAATAGTTTGCCCGAACATATGATTGAGGCAACATCTGTGCAACAGTTCAAAACGTTGTTAGATTTGCATTTTGCCTCTATTCCATTCAGAGAACGACTGCACACTTACGATGACATATCACATTTGTGAATCCTGAAATATCGTAAGTCGAATATTTTAACTATTACATGAGAACGACAATGATATTCAACGTTGACAACTTTTATGACGTTTTTCGCTATATTTCGAAAGAGTTGTACAGAATCCATTTCTACTTGCTCTATAATACAGTACTCAGTATTCAGTATTCATAGTTGGAAAGTCAGGACGAGCCATCCTTTCTGACGTTCGTAAAGATGTAGGAGCTGGCGTCCCTGCATATAAGTAGCATTTGGTTCTTCGTGTGTCATTTATCCAGAGATTTTCCACAACTATTTAACCTAGATGATTCTTATCGAAGGATTGAAAATGTCAAGTATTCACTGCCAATGAGTTGTGAAAATTAACTGTGTGCTAGGAAGTCAGCTGAAATTTGAAAACAGATCCACGCATGCTTGGTGGAGAATCTTCAGGCTGCAATACTCAACAGGAGATATCCGTGAAATCAGGTGGATGAGATGGGGGCTGTTACACATGCATCTGAACATGTGGGCTTTACATAGATAAGTAATGATCGTCGGTAGAAGGATGGTGCAACAGTACTGTGGATAAAATGGACAATCGAACCACAAGAGGGGTTTCATTTTCCAAGTTCACGGTATGGAATTAAGGCCAAAAGTTAGGAATGAGTAATTTCCCCCTTGTGTATTTTGCAAAAGCGGTTTCATGGCTAGACTTTACAACTGTAATCGGCACATTAGAAAATTAAAATTTGAGCCTCCTCTATTTCAGAAATGAAAGCCCATTTGCCTACACGAAATCCATGCTATGCTGTGGGAAGAACAAGGTCATCCACCACAAAAGTAACGGATACTGGCATTTCAACAACAACTGTTATGACTGATACTTTTCTCCTACAAAGCGTGTAAAACTTGTAGAGACCAGTTGCTAAACACGCATATAATAGATTCGACTAATTCCCTGTTTACAATGAAAGATTTAACACAAGGCTGCAGGCTTAAGAGTTGCGAAAGACGTTCAAGTGTACTAAATGCAACCTGGATCGTTGTCGCATGAGTGGCAAAACTGATTCAGCATATTTTACAGCATGCAACAACAAAAGGAGACTTTGTAAATTGTAATTTGGTTTTTAACTTTGATAGATTTTAGTGGCTTGCTTCACAAGGTGTACAAATGTACACGTGTTTCGTTTACAAAACAGACAATAATCAAATTCTTGGTTAAATAGGATATCAAATAAATCACTATCGGCAAATAGATAATTTTGGGATCAAAATTCTTTGTCCGAGTGTGAAGGAGATACGAAGCACTTTTCAATGCTGTCTATGGCGGCTGGTGTGTAGTATGCTAACACATGCGCAAAACGTCGAACTGTAGACAAGAAAGATCCGCCAGAATTTTGTAGGAAACCCACACTAATCAAAGTGAAAACTACAAGACAATTGACTAACTCGGTTTCGCTGCTGTTTCGCTTGTGGTTTCGTCAGCTTTCTTTGTCAGCACTAAATGCGAGAATAGACGAAAAGAAAGATATCAGTAAAGTTCTTCACTAATCACATTAATCAAAACGTACATTTGTGAGGAACTTATGTGCAAATTTTTATAAGGCCTGTACTCGACAATGCCGAGTAAAAGCGCAGCTGCACTTCCCGATCCATCGACTAATACACACCACCAAAATCGTAAATTCTGGTGCTAACACCCCGTGTTGTAGCATAAAACCGTTGTAAAATGATGACAGAAAACAAACTTCACCGTTACGGAGCTGTTCCGACCAAGTATTCCTAAGAATATACTATATCATTAAAACTGGCCTGTTGTAACCACCAAAGTCAGAGTTTGTTAACACAACACTAATGACTTCTTGTATTCTAGTTCAAATGAGAACTGTGTCCAGTGAGCATCAGTAGGAATAACAGCCGGGCTTCTGCCAGTGACCTTCTGATCATTCTGCGCAGAAGATCGTGTAAGTCGCAACACAAGCTTGAAGATTCCTTGCCATTATTCAAGTAGACTGTTGAGACTAGTACTAGAGTGCTGGTTTTTCCAAGACACAAGGGATCATGTTGTCCATCTAATCACAGGTGATATTTTTCCTTATCGCAATGGTCCAACTAACCACAATTAATTACCTTTAGGCGTGGTTTACAGAAATGAAAGTCGGATTGACATGCAAAGACGAGGGGAGGTGGCGCATGCGTGTGATGTTCAGGCATACCTGGTAGGAAGCATACCATAATACATGAGTTGGTGGTTGTTTCTCACGTGTTAAAAAGTCAACACCGTTTTATTTGAGTGAAATGGACCCTAGAAACTTCAATTAACTATATCATCTTGGTTCCAGGCTTTGCACTTCAGTCGAAGATCAATGTGAAGCTTACCATTTGGGTTAACACCACTTCGTCACACGACTGAGCCAAACTGTTGAACCATCACTTTGCTGCTTGCTTTACTTTCAATTAGACTGTGTACTTTTGGAGAAGCTGTGACAAGTGTTACGATTAAACAAGTAATCCGACTAGGCCAGAAAACTAACCAGTCATGTCGACCGCTGAGAAGCACCTTTGCAAATCACAATATGCCGCAGCTCATCCTGTCTCGTCTGTCAAGGCTGAAAGGCATAAAAGTTCACATCCGCCGAAACTTGGAACCCGAAGACAGGAATCGGTTGAAGACTGTGGTCATTCAGCTCAGAAGCCGTACAGAGGAAGGTGAGGCTGACTTACAAATTGTAAATTTTCGGGTGATCAAGAAGGGTATACGAAACAGTATCAACCAGTTGCTCAACCTCCAGGCACCTCTCGCAGTATCTCGTAGGACCTCCGTGTTTCAATCGCCAACGTGTGCAGCCCAATGAACAAACGTGACGAACTGTGCCGTATCGCTGTCTCGGAGCGGTCGGGAGTTTTAGGACTTGCAGAGACTTGACTGAACTCCGATGTCATACCCCAAGCATTTGTGTTGTCAGGATACTGTTGTTTCTGATGTGACCGAAAATCAAAGGCTCACGGTGGTGTTCTGTTGTACATAAAATCATTACTAGCTGGCAAACTTACCAGCACCTATCGGAGTGAGGATAGCTTATACGAGCAACTGTGGTGCACAATCAGCCTCAGACGCGCAAAACTGATAGTGGGTATTATCTACCGTAGCCCATTAAACCGTTGTTACGATTGGCTACTATAGGTACAGAAGCAGGTGAGCCAACATCAGTCCTTACTAATGGGGGGTCTAAATTTACCTAAGATATTTTGGCCAGACATTCGGTTTTTTCCCGGTGATGGCAACGTTAATGCCCAATTCGTCAAAATGGCTATTGAAATCAGGGCAACGCAACATGTCATCCAAACGACTCGCGTAACTTCACACTCGGCACCTTGTCTGGACCTAATGTTTACGAGCCGCTAGCAGAAGCTGAACGAGATCAGAGTGCTCAAACCTCTGACGAACAGTGACCACTAATCTATTGTGGCAAGCTTCGAACTGTCCTTCCCGTATCACAACCAACGGAACCCGAGGTTCAACTATTGGAACACGGACCTCAACGGGCTCATCCAAACCGCAAGTCAGACTGATTGAACACTACCACAGGATGCGTCACTTGAGGCCTGCTGGTCATTAATGAAGGGGAAGCATAACTCGCTGTGTACTCGGTTCGTTCCTCTGACGTTTCAAAAGTCGGACCTGTCAAACCGCATTGGTTTGATACGGAATATAGACAGTTAGCGCGACAGCGTCGCAAACTTTGGAATAGATACATCAGCTCGGTTGTGATGAAGATTACACGGTGTACATGAAACAGCGTCACTTATGTAACGCCGCAAAGATCAAGAAACGCCGGCAGTTCGAAGAGGAGCTAGCATCCTCGGCCACAACTGCACCCAAAAGAATATTTGCCTACTTGAAACGTCAACTAAAACCTGGGGACGACCTACCGGTCTTAGGAAGCTTAGATGGAAAGACACTCATTTCAAGCGCGGAGCGCGCGGACGCCTTGGCTACGCACTTCCTCACTGTATTTTCCAGTAAACCGGCGGCGGTTTCAGTACCGGCACAGGTTGCGCAAGTCTTGCTCGACAGCCTACAATGTGGTGCAATCGAAGTACATCAGCTACTCGTCAACCTCAGTGGTGCAAAGCATCCCGGACCAGACGGACTTCACCCACTAATACTCAAGTCCCTATCGATTATCATCTTACGAGCCGTGACAAACCTATTCAATAAATCACTCTCTGAAGGATATGTCCCCAATGACTGGAAATGATTGATAGTGAGACCGCTTCCCAAGCGTGGTGATCCGAGTAAAACAGAGATCTGTTTGACTTCGATACTATCCATAGTTCTCGAGAAGGTTGTGAGAAAGCGTCTGCTGTCTTCCTTGGAATAGATGGATATATTGACGCCAGCGCAACACGGATTTACCAAAAGGCGATCCAGCATCACCAAGTTGATGTACGCAAACCACCAGTGGGTACAAGCTCTCAATGAACAGAAGGATGTTGACGTGGTGTACATCGACTTTAGTAAGGCGTTTGATAGAGTGAACCACGAGGTACTCCTTCATAAACTGAGGACATACGGAATCGAGGGCACGCTACTTCAGCGGTTACACGAATTTATTGGGGGACGAAGGTTTAGAGTACAGGTCAATGACAACCTGACAGACTGATTCCCATCGACCAGTGGGGTGCCTCAAGGAACTGTACTTGGGCCAGTATTATTTCTTGTTCATATCAACGATCTTCCGCAGCAGCTCCAGTCGCCATGTGCCCTGTTTGCAGATGATTTAAACATCTGGAGGATCATTGAAAACCAGGACGACTGCGCTCGCCTCTAGCATGACTTAGAGCGACTGTCAACGTGGTCCACTGAAATGCCACCCGCTCTTAACGCAAGCATGTCGGAGTTCATCAGTATCACCAGACGTCCAGCCACTCGATCATACACTTTGGACGGCCAGTTGCTCCACCCTAACACATCTGTCAGAGACAGGATTTATCTTGCGACATGATGTGAGCTCACTAGAAAATACAAAATAATTGTGCCGTGCAGAATTTCGTATGCTGTGGATATTAAGACGCAGTTTCTCCACATGGTCCGAAGAAACCGTTTCTCATCTATTAACTTCGTTCATTAGACCAATCCTTGAATACGGTGCCCCAGCCTAACATCCGATAACCCAGTGGGAAACTAAAAAGCTGGAGGAAATACAGCATATTGCAACTAGAATGATGGCGAGTCTAAGAAAACTTCCGTATGAAAAACGCTGTGAAATGCTCGGCCTCTACACACTATCCCACCGCCGAGTAAGAATTGACCTTATTGTGACCAGTAGAATACTACACTTGGATCACTCCCCCATATTGCGGCCAATATTTCACTGTAACATCCGAGGCCACCGTTACAAACTCAGGGTCCCCTGCATAAACAATTTATCACATCAGCTTTGTATTGAAAGAAGAATCGTAAACTTATGGAATACACTACCAGAAGGATTAATACAGGCCTATTCTGTGAAGTGTTTTAAAACATGTATCGACGATTATTACGGAAACCTGTGCTTTCGTGAAACCATGCACATACAAAACAAAAAACGTTGTATACCCGGAAATAATGACACCAAAACAAATTCCTAACTGAACAAGGATAAACGATTAACTGACCAGATATAACCGATGACGATTCACAGCTAGATGTTCTTGATTTTCATAATTCGATCGAGTTGTACAGAAACCTTTCTACTTGCTCTTAACTACATTCTCATTCTCGTTATGAACACACTCCCTGGGTGCAGTTTTGCTTGTCACCTGTTAACTCTCAGTACACTGCAGACGGAACGTCACGCTTATGGTGTACCGTTAGATATCACTAACAGTCACACAATTTAGCTTTCCTTATCAGGTGTCGTCTCGCTCTTCATGGTGAATCTGGGCCTAGTTTATCACCACTCGTCTGTGTAAATCTGGGCACACTGAGTCGCAACTACGTCGACAGCTTGCTGTAAGTGCAGGTGGAACCAAACGATATTACGTAACCATTCCGCTATTATTTTCCCACAAACGACTACACCGAGTACTGGAACATACGCATTACCCATGATTCAGTGACTCACTTGTTTCAGCATCTTATATCTGAGACTCAGAAGGGTGGGCTAATCGCTGCTACCGCCGGATGCTAACCCATGTATGTCATTAGTCTACACCGTGTCCAGAATGTCCTAAATATACATCAAATACGTATGCAGCGACGAGTCAATATGGGTGAACTAAGTGCACAACACTAGAAACTGAAAACATGACACCCATTACCTAGAGAAATTTGCTTCTGACCTTGTCTTTCAGGGGTGTCACTGTGTTGGCACTTCTTTCTTTTTCGATTTAACTCTTCACTTAATTTGCGGTAAATGACATGCTAACACCCATCGATGGGTGTTAGTCCGCACTCGTAGTCGATCAAACTTTTCCTGCGCTTTGGATCATGTGGTCCACTGCTTATCACGCGG